GATAGAATAGAATAGAATAGACAGTGACCTCATCAAAGAGTCTATCAGTATTTAAGTTTGTCCTTGCCTGGCAACCCTGGCTCTATCCCAGCCTTATTTTCCTGCCAGAGAGAAAACCTCGCTCTGGACCCCATCAGCTCTGCCATGGAACTGATCTATTCACTCTCGCCATCCATAAAGATGAGAAACCAACACAGGGTGTGGGCACACCCATGCCAGGAACCCTGTCGTACCCCAAAGAGCCCACATCATTGTTTATTCAGCTTGAGTGCATCATATCTTGGCAGCCAGGGTGACAGTGAATAGGCATTCTAGTTCATAAGAACATAATCATAACATAACTTCAAGTATCGACTCCCCTAAGAATAAGGAATAATGAAAATGGCCCTTGTGCACACCTTTTTGCCCTGAGACTCCAAAACCAGTTGGCATTTTGGTCATCTGCTTCATGCAAGAGCAGATGAACGGTAAACTTTTTGTGCTGCATTCATGGATCCACCAAGGCTGATTTTTTTTCCTTCATCAATACAAAAGAATGCCTCCATCTATTGACCGTGAAAAGATGTTCATAGATTTGTCCCCAGTGAAGAGATGTCTTTGTTGGTTATCTCCATTGGTGAGCCGCCTCCATTTGGCTCGGCCTAATCAGAACACAAACACGCCTCTGTCATTTGGCTGTTCTCCCTCTCCCTCCCCCACTCCCCCCCTCCCCCTTTCAGTCTGTCTCTTATTAACTAACACTACAAATTAGATTCTATTTTCTCCCTCCTCAATTCATTTTCTCTTCTATTTTTTATATCCCCTCTTCTCCTTACACTTTTATGGTGTGTGTGTGGGTGTGTGTGCAAATGCAACTGAAAGAAAATCTCACCATACCGTTATTCCCTCCTCCCACCTTGGCCTCTGATTTGTTTTCTTTCTTTCATCTTGCTTCTATCTAATCTGCTCATCTAGATGGTGTGTGGCTCTCCCTGAGGCACAGACACTGAGGCCTGGCATACATTAACTTTGCTTGTCTGTGCACAGCCTGGTTTCGGTTGCCAGAGGGGAAGTGTTGCAATGTAAAGAGAATCCCTGAGGGAGAAGACTTGCGCTGGATTCCTGATGAATGCGAGTTGGTCACATCCTTAATATGTTCAACATTACAGTTTCCTTCAAAAAAAGAAACACTTTCACACCATAATGCTCACCTCCACATCCAAATAACAATGATCTGCATACAAACACAGCTACAAGATCAAAATATATAGAGAAAAAGAGGGACACGATTAAGTAAACAAGAAAAACGTGTCCGATCCAGAACTTAATCAGTTTTAACTAGATGTTATGCACAGATATTTTAAAGTTTTGAAAATTACTTAATTAATTATTAAAATAATTATTAAGTATTTATACACCAAATTTGGATCCTGAGACTGAAATCTGAAACCTGTTTATCTGATAAATGAATGCCTTCAAAACTAAAGGAAAATATATATTTTTGCTTGTAATTCTAAATTTTTGGTTCATTAAACATAACAGTCAAAAAAAAGATTGTTCATTTGGAAAGCACTGTTATTCCAAATACACTACAAGGTACACAATGTGCCACTGGGCCTGCACTTATACTGTATCCTATAGAAGAGTTGTTTTCATTGTTGGAAGGTATATGGCTGCCAACCCTGTGCACACATGCCTGTTTATCAGGCAATGGAGGGATGTGGTCATATTGATGTGTACACTATCCAGAGTAGGAGACGTCACTCCAGCTAATGTCTGGATTTCACAGTGGGCAAGATTTCTTCTGCACTGCATACAAAACCCACCGTATGGACTCTGCTTACATTTGTCATTTTGTGTTACAGTTTTGCAGCTTCAACATCATAAAACCCACTTGTAATAATGATTTTATTTTATAATTTCACTGTAAATGTAATAATAGATATTTGAATTTAGGCTACTGTTTCATATTGCAAGTAGTATGACATTTTCCGTTGTGTTTTAACCTACTGTTTAGTGTGTAGAGTTTTCAGCCTTATTTCTATAAAGGCATGTTAACAAATGTAAAAGAGAAAAAAAAGTTAACAATGTTCCACTCCCTTTCCTCTTTGTCTTACTGTAATAAATACAGTATGTCTTACAGTTGGTTGTTTCACAATACCGAGTTCTCCTTTTTCAAACACTTTACAGTAAAACAGCTGTAATCTGTGGCTTTTTTTTTTCACTTCTTTCAAAATTCATACTTCACTCAGTTAAACTTAGCCACCAACAAAATTCCATACAGTGCAGAATATAGCCCATTTTGAATGTTTACATAAAAAACACTTTTCAGAATGCTTAGATTTACTGTAGGTTCAAACAGACAGCAATAAGTCACATATTATGAAGTACACTAGTTTGCTCATGTTTTAGCAGCAGGCCTACCCAGGTGTTTGTATCTGTTTGTCTCAAGTTTTATAACTATTTATACATGAACCAATCTAGACATTACTGTAAGGAGTGGCTATAAGTCAAGTCAACTCAGAT